GTTAGACATGCCCCAAAAAGTGAGAAAATAACAAGAATTATTCCCATTGTTTCATCATATGAAAGAAATTCAATAGTTTTCAATACACAATTGTCTCTCCTGACATTTGACCAGTACTCCTCGGGACACTGAATGCAGTCATTAGAATCTGGAAGACAATTATAACGTCTTTGATTAGAATTACAATACATGGACTTCAATTTAATACTGTGACCCTGACCAGGATGGGCAATGAACGGTGTAATCTAGAAAAAGATATTCTTGTGTTACCTGTAGCATTGCTGATCTCCCCCTCAGCACAGGGTACACAGTCGTAGCAGCAGACAGGCTTTCCTCTCTGCACGGCCTTGCGGGTTCCTGGGGGACAGCTCTCACTGCACTTTGATTGGGGCATCTGTGTGACAAAGACAGAGCAGCGCTTATCCCTCTCACTGATGGTGACAACGCAGAGCAATGACTTCACTTTGTTGACCCTGATCACATGTGTGACATTTGGCATAATGTTTGAAAGGCTGGTAATCTACATATATTTTCAATTGAGAGTTTGGACCCTTACCTCTCGTTGACCACCTGCCCAGACCATACTGACTGGACTCATAACAAACTGTCGACCAGCTGGTAAGGTGGCGTCGTAGTAACCCACTGCCTTAAACTCTACAGCACCCTCAGGATTAAGCTGCCAGTTGACGACCTCGTATTTAGCTGCCGGGTCTCCGTTACCATCAAAGAAAACCCGTTCTCCAGTTTTCAAAGTGAAATTGACCTTTTGCAGAGACTTCAGGACCTGCAGTATGAAGAGACACCTACTATTAGGTTTCACCATAAATTACTGGGCTTTTTGTTTTTGCTGTATTTACACATTTTAGAGAATGAATTACCTGTCTGGGCTCAGTTTTTGATCTGCTTGCACAGCCTTGTGGTGTACAGTTCAGCAAGCTGTGCAGAGATTGTGCTACTGCATAAACAGCTTTGTAGACATTGTTAGTTATCCTTATCTCAGATTCATCAGTATATGGGTTATTTAGATCACTTAGGCTTTCAGTACCTGTGCAGGGTGCTTTGTATCTTGAATTATGTTCTGTTGTTAAGGAGCACTGAAAAGCCGTTTCCCAGAAGTCTTGGAGATCAGTGTTGTTTGGATTCATTGATGGGTGAAGTTTCAGCACAAATTCCTTCAAGCCGCTTATTTTAGCTCCTGTCACAGCAAACCCAACCGACCCGCCAAGAACTCTGAAACTTGTTGGTGTCACAAGGCTGCTTGCAGTTATCCACCCTTCAGTTCCAATCAACTGAAGACCAGTTATGTTCTGAATTGTTAGCTGGTCCAAGAAATGGTTCATTTCTAAAAGAGCCAAAAAAGCCACAATTACCTTTGCTGTACCTTTTTTGATCACATCTAGAACTTTCAGCAGCTTGTCAGGTTGTGTTCTGTGAAATTTCTCCGAATACTCAATACAGATTCCTTCTTGTCTAGCAGCCTCTATAAATGTGGCCATCCCATTGTTTCCATAGTCACTGTCACTCCTGACGGCCCCCACCCAGGTCCAGCCAAAGTGTTTGACCAGCTGGGCCAGTGCTCTGCTCTGGTAGTAGTCACTGGGAATGGTCCTGAAGAAGGACGGGTATTTTTCTCTGTTGCTCAGGCAGGCACAGGTGGCAAAGTGGCTGATCTGTGTGAATCACATTACAGTGAAAAATACAAGAATATTCTCTGATGTTGTACTTGTTCACCTGACGACGTTTACCACATTATCAATGAGCTTTGCACATTAAATTTTGCAGTGTTGCTTAGCATATGTTCTCTTTTTCGTTAAATATATTATTCAAAGTTTTTGATTCTTCTTAATGATTCTATCAGTTTAACACCTTGAACTAACATTGCGGTGTCCAGTTTATTGACAAAATTTTAAGCACTCTTACCACTGGAATCTGAAATGGCCCAACACTTGACGCAATGGCCATAGTGTTTGTGGACCCAGACTCCCCTATGATGGCCTGGACAGCTGCAGGTCTGGAGCAGGATGTATCACTCAGGCTTTCCTCATAGCCGTTCATCAGAGCCATCGCAGACCGTACTGAGAATGTTACTGAGGCACAGGTGTCATAAATCTTATAACCCAGGGTCAAACCAGGCAGGATGTCTGTTCTGTTGTTTATTTCTTCAGTGGCAAAGATCATTGTTTGGGCCAGTCGGAACTCTCTGAAATTTACTCTGGACAGAGAATATGTACAGTTTTAAGACAAGATCCACGACAAATTGAAAAAACATTTCAGTAATCAGGTAAAGTTATTTGTTTTGGCATTTTAAAGCTCATTTAGGCTCCAGCTTACCCTAAGCAGTCCACGTTTTTGGGCTTGGATGTGAATTGGTTTTGTGTTTCGCCTGTTTTTCCATGGAGGGAAAAAACTGCACCCAGGATGATGTGGCCGTCTTGAGCGAAACTGGGCATGATGGCTCTCCCCAGCAGCCTGCATGCTGGAGTCTGTGCTGTGACAGGGAAGGCTCCGAGAACCAGCAGTGCCAGCTGCCCCAGCATCCCGGTCCGTAAGTAACAGACCCAGTGCTGCATGGTGCAGCTTATATGACAGGCGGGAGTGGCTGCGTCACCTCACTGAGAGACTCCAATTCCCCTTTGATTTGTGCATGTTGGGTGCATGTTTCCAGGATCTTTTGTTATTTTTCAGGTCACAGTTAATCGGGTTTCCATGTATATACAATGCCTTCACCTTTTTGCATTTACTTAATCAATCCATTCATTTTCCTTAGTTAACGGACGTGTTATATTGACCAGCTTATTGGTTTTGGAATATACACCAAAAACATCAGATTATGTACGTTACTGTCTATTAGAATTTGGGGATCACAAAGAAAGTATAATGCCACCAGGGTTTCAGACACCGAGTTTGAGTGGTCTTTTACACCATTTCATTTGGATACAGACATGAATGCTAGCTGCCATTTTGTTAATGATTCTGTGATTCTTTATTTGCTATTTCTATAAGCATGACTGCATGTGCATTGGAATGCTTCTTTGCACATTTCCCATCATGCTCTCCTTTGAGATTTACACACACATACAGGTGAGAGCGAAGCTTGGGGTCTGAGCTCAGGGTCAGCCAGCGTGCAGCATCCCTGTTGTAATCGGGGTTTGAGAGATTGTTCCCGGGGTGCTGCGTGCTCGCTGACCCTGTT